ATATCTCCAGAGATTTATTTAAAGGTTAAATAGAACCAACAACAAAAAGAGTTAGTAATACACAAGCTTATGCGACAGTAAAGTAAGCAAAACATCTAAAACACACCAAGCAAAATACAAGTTTTATATTGCCAACGACTCAAGGCTATTACTCAAGAAATGAAACTAAACACACATTTTCTCTAACACTTGCATCGCTTCTTTCATGGACGGTCGCTTGTCAGGCAAGGAAGAGACACATTCAATCCCTAACCTAAACCACGCCATTGCAGCATCCTCATGGCGAGCCACATCGCTCCTAATTGCACCATCGATCAACCTCAAGAACCGGCCTCTCTCTTCCGATTCAGAACCGGGTAATTCCGACCATTGATCTATATCCTGATCAACGGAGAAAACTTTTCCTGTGAGAAGCTCTAAGACTATGACACCAAAGGAATAAACATCCCATTTAGGGTTTGGTTTCTGACTCGTAGACCATTCCGGTGGCTGGTATGGTGAGCTCGACGTCGGTCCAGTTGCGTGAGGTTCACGCGTCGACGTCATGAGGCGGTCTAGTCCTAGATCAGTGATGATAGGCTCATTCTCAGCGCTCAAGAGAATGTTATTAGGCTTGATGTTACCGTGCACGTGTTTCTTCTCGTTGATGTAAGATAGTCCTCGAGCTATTCCTCTTGCTATCTTGAGCCGTGCCTCGAAACAGAGAGGGTTTTGTAATGAAGAAGAAGACGAGCTTGAGTTTGCCTTTGCTGTTTTGTAAAGGAACAAAAGAAGTGTTGGAAGTAGAAGCTAGTGATAAGCGTATTTTAAGATAAGATTGCTAAAATGCGCCAAGTTAAACGCTTTGTATAGAAACTTACTGGCGGTGAAGAAGCAGAGGAGACTGCCATTGGGAACATAGTCGGAGATTAGAAGCTTCTCGTCGTTTCCCCAGCAAAACCCACGAATTCTGACGAGATTTTGATGACGAAGCTTAGCAATGGCACGAACTTCCCGCTCGAATTCCTTGAGTTTCGCTGCCGCACAGCTCTCCGTTTCGATCCGCCTCACCGCGAACACCGTGCCGTTTCCCAGAACCGCTTTGTACACGATTCCGGTACCGGTGGTTCCTAATACGTAAGCAGATGCCTTTAATAGAGTGTCTAGATCAAGCCGAGTCTCGCCGTCGACAGTCACTAGCTGTGTTTGAGTGTTCTGTTTCAGTCGCCCACCATCTGTTCGATTAAATGCTTCAACGGCTTGCTGATTCTCTATATCGCTTTCCGATGTCGATGTTTCGTCGTAACTTCCTCCGTTCAAGATAATGCACGAACCGCATGCCCTTTTTGCATCTGGTGATTCCGCGACTGTGACCTCCACGACGCTTGGTTTTGGTTGGTGATTCGATTTCTTCACTTCGTTTTTCTCCAGACAGTCTTTGAAGAAGCTGAATGTGTTTGATTCTGGGTGTCTTCTGCGTTTTCTGACCTGGTACACGTAGAGTACGAATAGACCTATCATAGCTAGACCAGCTATGTTTGCAACTGTGATTCCGGCAATGGTGCTTGGCTTTAGCTTGCTTTTTGCTGTCTGGTTTGGTGATTCTGTTAAAGGGTTTATTGGAGTCGAGCTTCTGGGCTTAACCGCTATTGCAGGTGAGGTATTTTCAGGGATATTTGGTGGGTTTGAAAGAGTAGAAGGAATTGAACAAAGGGTCTTCATTGGCTTCCCGCATAGCTCTGTATTACCGGAAAAAGACTCGACCTTTTGGTTGAGTAAAGAAAGGGAGCTAGGGATTGGACCTGTTAGGTTGTTGAATGAGAGATCGACTGTGGCGTTTGCTGGAAATTTCTCTGCAAAATGTGGAGGAATCTCGCTGAAGACTTTGTTGTGTGATAAGTTCAAGTAATGCAAGCTTCTTCCTCCCAAATCCTGAGGAAGAGAGCTGTTCAGAAGATTTGAAGAAAGATCAAGAACTTGTGCTGCTTCGAAACCACTTGGAACATCACCTGAAAAGTAGTTCTTTGTCAAGGAAATGACTGTTAGATTCTTCAGGAGTGAGAGGTTGAACGGAATTTGTCCAGTAAATGCATTAGCAGAGAGATTCAAGAGCTGGAGATTGATCACACTATTGATACTCTTAGGCAAATCACCAGAGAGATTGTTGCTTCCAAGGGAGATTACCCGAAGCTCAGTAGCGTTGAAGACCGAGTCCGGTAATGACCCGTTGAAGAAATTGCTGGACAGATCCAAGATCCTTAAATGCGGAATCCAGAACAAATCCGTGGTAACGGCACCAAGAAGATGTTTGTTGGGAAGTATCAAGCTTGTAACTCTGAACATGTCTGGTGTGTTAGGCTTCCCAAGCTGTGTACAGGTAACACCTGTCCACAAACATGGTGTTTCATCTTCATAGTTCCAGTTGTGTAGAACAGAGAGAGGGTCATTGAGGATTGTGTACTTGAAAGAGAGCAGTGAAACACCATCAGTGTTGAGAGCTTGAAGTTGTGTGGGGACAAGAAGAAAGTGGAAGAAGAACAATGAGAGAAGGTTGCTTCTGTTTGAAGTCATGGTTTTTCAGAGTTCTTGGTACTATCTATCTCTCTCTCTAATTATTACATATGGCTCTGCATATTCATA